TCCTTTACGTCTTTGGTTAGATTTATTCTGAGGTATCTTATGGTTTTTGGTGCTATTGTAAATGGAATCGTTTCTCTAATTTCTCTTTCTATAGTTGTATTGTTAGTGTATAAGAAAGCAACTGATTTCTGTGCATTGATTTTGTATCCTGCCACATTACTGAATCGTTGTATGAGGTCTAGTAATTTGGGGTTAGAGTCTTTTGGGGTTTCTACATAAAGTATCATGTCATCTGCGAAAAGAGAGAGTTTGACTTCTCTTTGCCAATTTGAATACCTTTTATTTCTTTTCATTGTCTGGTTGCTGTTGTTAGGACTTCTAATACTGAACAATAGTGGTGAGAGTGGGCATCCTCGACGTGTTCCTGATCTTAAGGGAAAGGCTCTCAGCTTTTCCCCACTGAGGATGATATTCGCTGTGGGTTTTTCATAGATGGATTTTATTAACTTGAGGAATGTTCCCTCTATCTCAATACTCTGAAGAGTTTTAATCAGGAAAGGATGCTGTATTTTCCCAAAGGCTTTTTCTGCATCAATTGAGAAGACCATGTGGTTCTTCTCTCTCCTCTTATTAATGTGTTCTATCACATTGATTGATTTGTGAATGTTGAACCACCCTTGCATTCCGGGGATAAATTCCACTTGGTCGTGGTGGATGATCCTTTTAATGTATTGTTGGAGCCTATTAGCTAGGATTTTGTTGAGGATTTTGGAATCCTTATTCATCAGGGATATCAGTCTGAAGTTTTCCTTTTTGATGGGGTCTTTGCCTGGTTTGGGGATTAAGGTAATGCTGGCCTCATAGAATGAGTCTGGAAGCTTTCCTTCTGTTTCTATTTTTTTGAAACAGCTTCAGGAGAATAGGTATTATTTTTTCTTTGAATGTTTGGTAGAATTACCCCAGGGAACCCATCAGGCCCTGGACTCTGGTTTTTTGGGAGGTTTTTGATCACTGCTTCAATCTCGTTACTGGTTATTGGCTACTCGGGTTGTCAATTTCTTCCTGTTTCAGTCTTGGGAGTTTACAGGTTTCCAGGAAGGCATCCATTTCTTCCAAGTTGCTCAGCTTATTGGCATATAGTTGTTGATAATAATTTCTAAAATTGTTTCTATTTCCTTGGTGTTAGTCGTGATCTCTCCCCTTTCATTCATAATTTTATTAATGTGGGTCCTTTCTCTTTTCTTTTGGATAAGTCTGGCCAGTGGTTTATCGATCTTATTAATTCTTTCAAAGAACAAGCTTCTAGTGTCATTGATCTGATCTACTGTATTTCTGGTTTCTAATTCATTGATCTCTGCTCTAATCTTAATTATTTCTCTTCTAATATGGGGCTTAGGCACCGTTTGTTGCTTTCTCTCTAGGTCTTTAAGGTGTAAAGTTAGTTGGTGAATTTGGGGTTTTTCTATTTTTTTAGTGGGGCTTGGATGGCTATGTATTTTCCCCTTAGGACTGCCTTTGCAGTGTCCCATAGGTTTTGGACTGATGTGTTTTCGCTCTCATTGGTTTCCATGAATTGTTTAAGTTCTTCTTTGATTTCCTGGTTGACCCAAACAGTCTTGAGCAGAGTGGTCTTTAGCTTCCAAGTGTTTGAATTTCTTCCAAATTTTTTCTTCTGATTGAGTTCCAGTTTTAAAGCATTATGGTCTGAGAATATGCAGGGAATAATCTCAATCTTTTGGTATTGGTTGAGACCTGATTTGTGACCCAGTATGTGGTCTATTCTGGAGAAAGTTCCATGTGTGCTCGAGAAGAGTGAGTATTCTGTTGTTTCAGGGTGGAATGTTCTGTATATATCTATGAGGTCCATCTGGTCCAGTGTGTCATTCAAAGCTCTTGTTTCTTTGTTGATTTTCTGCTTAGATGATCTATCTATTGCTGAGAGTGGAGTATTGAGGTCTCCTACAATTAACGTATTGTTATCAATATGACTCTTTATTTTGGTTAACAGTTGGCTTATATAGATGGCTGATCCCATGTTGGGGGCCTAGATATTTACAATTGTTAGATCTTCTTGTTGGATAGACCCTTTAAGAATGATATAGAGTCCTTCTGTGTCTCTAGCTACAGTCTTTAGTTTAAATTCTAATTTGTCTGATATAAGAATTGCTACCCCAGCTTTCTTTTGAGGTCCGTTGGCATGGAAGATGGATCTCCATCCCTTCACTTTCAGTCTGGATGTATCTTTAGGTTCAAGATGAGTCTATTGTAGACAGCATATGGATGGGTCCTGTGTTTTTATCCAATCTGCAACCCTGTGCCATTTTATGGGAGCATTTAGGCCATTCACGTTGAGAGTGATTATTGAAAGATATGAATTATCATCATGCTATCTGTGAAGACCTTGTTTTTATAGATTGTCACTGTAAATTTTTTTTCTATATCACTCTTGAGGTCTTTCTCCTTTTATAGACCCCCCCCTTAATATTTCTTGCAGGGACGGCTTAGTGGTCACATATTCTTTCAGTTTCTGCTGGTCTTTGAAGCTCTGCATCTCTCCATCCATTCTAAATGACAGCCTTGCTGGATAAAGTATCCTTGGCTACCTGTTCTTCTCATTGAATATGTCTTGCCAAGCCTTTCTGGCTTGCCAGGTCTCTGTGAATAGGTCTGACGTTATTCCGATGTTCCTCCCTCTGTACGTAAGGAATCTATTCCCCCAAACTGCCCTTAAGATGGTTTCCTTGGTTCTAAGATTTGCAAGTTTTACTACTACATGTTGGCGTGCTGGCCTGTTTTCCTTGATCTTGGGAGGGGTCCTCTCTGCCTCTAGGACATAAATGTTTGTTTCATTCCCCAGATTAGGGAAGGTCTCAGTTACGATTTGTTCAAATATATCTTCTAGTCCCCTCTCTCTCTCCACCCCCTCAGGGATTCCAATAATTCTGACATTGGAACACTTCATGGTGTTGCTTATTTCTCTGATTCTATTTTCATGGATTCTGAGTTGTTTTTCCCTGGCCTCCCCTTTTCCATTTTTCTCTATTATTTGGTCTTCTAGGTTACTAATTCATTTTTCTGCCTTGCTTACCCTAGCTGTTAGATTATCTAGATTAGATTGGATCTCATTGATAGCATTTTTCAGTTCTGCCAATGCAGCTTTCATTTCTGCCCTTAGAGACCCAATGTGGCCATTAATTGATTTCTCCATTCTAGCTATTGTCTTCACAATTGCTAGCCTGAATTCCATCTCCGACATCTTGGTTATATCTGAATCTATTTGTAAATCTGTGGCATAAGTCATAGTCTCTGAGTCTTTCCTATTTTGGGGGTTCCTCCTCCTAGTCATTCTTTTGAGGGGTGGTTGAGGGAATGTTACAGAGTCCAAATTACTGACCACAAGCCAAGCAAGATGCACCTGTTTTCTAGGGACCTTAGGGTTGATGGCCTCTTGTTTCCCCAGCCTGTCTTCTGGGTAGGGGCCTGCTGTGCTGTTACTCAGGCAACCCTGTTTGGGCAGAGTTGCCCTGCCCCCTGTGGCGGGGGATGGGCTCAGTGAAAACCGGTTTTGGGGGGCTTTTATTCTCTGGCGGCTTTCCCTGGCAGCTTTCCCTGTGGCTTTGCACATCTCTTCTGAGAATCAGAGCAGAAAAGACTGTTTCCAACCCTCTGCCTCAGAGCAGAGAGATCACAGTCTGTTCTTCATTGAGCTCTCCAGGCCACACTCTCTCCGTTTCTGTCTATGCTGCTATAAACTGCAGTGTCCTGGGTCATGCGCCCCTCAGCAGGGCTCCCAGTCCTCACCTCGAGGTCAGGGCATGTCTCTGTCGTTTGTGCTTCTAAAACTGCCAGCCGCCCCCAGTTCCCACATGGGGCCCCACTGCTCCAGTTTCCATCTAAAGTCCTTTCCCCACCGCTACCGGTCTGTGAGTCTGTGCCCGGTCCCCAGTGCGGATGGCTATCGCTCACTGGTGGTGTAGGATCCCCACAACCAGGCTCCCTCCTCCTGCTGTTTATCCTCTGATATCTGCTCCCAGAATCACAGCTCCTTGCTTCACACCTCAAAACCAACCGCTGGTGATATTCTGTTTGTAGAGATCCAGATCTATCTTCTTACATCTCAGGCTGATTTTGTGGGTGTTCAGAATGGTCTGGTAGATACCCAGCTCAATTCTGGGGACCTGTTGGAATAGGGTTCCCTACTCCTCTGCCATCTTTTTACTTACCACTTTCATCACTTAGGAAATTTCAAGGTTTTAGGAGCTCTGTGCCAAGGTTGGTGACCAAATATATATTTCTTATTATAAATCACAGTATCACAATTGTCGATGAGGAAGTCACTTTGCCTAGAATTGAAGGTGTCTACATTTTGGGAAATAATAAGTGGAGACTCTTGAGAGCCAGCAGGAAAAAAGTTAATTCAATACTGTAGAATATTATGACAATGGATTTGGGACAGGTGAGTGTTGTGATGTCAACAATAGGGAAGATACACGTGGCATCAATGCTAGTTGGGAAGGAGAGGGAAGAAGCTATGGCAAGAATTTTGGAATGAGGAGGTAAGAAAACTAACTAGTGTGGTGACAAGAAAACCTCAGAGGAAAGAATGGATGATAGACAACTTCAGGGATTTAGTGACTGGTTGGATTCAGAGATTTATCTGTTTACAAAATTTCACACTTGGATAACTAAGATAGTAATTTTCCACCAGTGGAAATTTGAAAAGGCTGTTTGGAGAAGAAGATGAGTTCCTTTAGAGATGTTGAGTTTGAAGCAAAAGTAAATATCTTAATAGAACTTCCTGGTAAGCAGCTGGAGATGTGGGACTCGACTAAAAGAATAAATAGAGATAGTCAGAAATCATCACCAGGCTGGTGATAAGCAGTAAACAAAAATGAATGAACTTTCCATCCACTGGGCCAAATGACTGATTGAGTGGTAACAGAAAAGTCAAGAGAAGACACATGACCATTCATTCAAAAGTCACAAGTGTCTATTATGACCCAAGTACTGTCCTAGGCTCTAGGAATGCAGAGCAAAGCCTCATTAGCCTCCAACAGAGCAACAGACTGATTCTGGGGCAAAAAGTCCATGTTGGTCCCAATGCCCAGCTATGGACAGGCTACTGGGCACCAGCCCATGCTTTTCTGCATCTAGACCACTGGCTGAATTAGAAGGTATGTGATTTTTCAGTCCTGGAACTCTTGTGGTATATATATCTTGGATTTACTAATGCCTCTCAAAAAAGCATAATTCCTTCCCCACACCATTTCTCCTTAGTTTTCTCAAGCACTGGATTTTATCTAATGTTTTTAAATTCCTTTAAAAAAAAAAAGAATTACCTTCTAAGAAATGTCTTTCAGAAGAGTACACATTTAGAAGTTTAAAATAACTGTAGATACATCTATTCCAGCTCACATCTCTGTTGGGGGAAGCCTCCCACTGAGCAGTTTTGTGTCAAGAGTCAAGTGACAAAAAGTCATTCCCTGCTGGGGGTAGAGGCAGACAAGTCAGAAAATTGCGAGAATTTGGCCTTTGGCCTTTGAGTGGCAAAAAAAAAAAAAAAAAGAAAGAAAGAAAAAGAAAAGACAAGAAAAGAAAAGAAAAAGAACAGTACTCAGGTTCCATATGTCCATATGTTAAGAACTATAGAGTTTTGTTTCTTTATTAACATTTCTCTTCATCTCATGATCTGAAAAAGACTAATACATATTACGTGGATGTTAAAGGGAAGAATATTTCTCACTTTGGTGGCATTTCTGCTATAGAAAATGTTGCTTCTTTCCTCCTCAACTTTGGATTCCAGCTGAGTACGTGGTCGGTGTTCTGCACGGTCAGCCTGTGAGTCCTTCACAATCTCCTGACTGGTTACAGAGAAGAAGGACTTGCTGGCTCACCGCTGTGGTGACAACACCCCTGAGGACTTCCTGGCAGTCATGCTCTCATAGAAAGAGATCCACTGCTTATGCATACTTGATTCTCTTTTTTCAAAAAGCCAATTAAAAAAGCCTTTAAAATCAGAAAGGTGAGTCCTTGAGTTTTTCTCTTTTCCCCAAATAGTCCCTGTAGTTTTTCAGGAGGCCATTATTAACATAGTCTCAGTGGAGTCCCTAGGGATCTGTATTTACTTCAGTGAAGATGATGTGTGTTTCTGTGGTCAATCACAATTCTGAGTTTGTTCAAAGATAGAATAAGAGGAGTTGATAACCATCATCATGAATACATATTTGGCCAAGGGACTTCTTCCAGTGAACATAATTCTTAGAGAATGAAGTGCCAGGTAAGAATGCACTTAAGACGATGAAAACAAAGTTTGTTCTTTATTCAGTGTTGGTTTTGCCCATTCAAAGAAAGATGTTCTTCCATCAAATTAATGTTTTTCTACTAGAGACTGGGAGAAACCATGATTGGAAGGAATTGAATCTTGGTCCTACAACAGTGCTACAAAGGGGTTCATCCACAAGAAATGTTTAAGAGTGAGCAGCTAAAAACTTTAACATTGACACAACATCCAAGCATGTGATTAGCGACTTGTCTCTCCAAACAAGGTAGAAGCCAGCTTGAATGTCTTCTCTCCTGTGGTGAGTTGCATATGGTGTGAGCCACATAGTGGCACTGGTCTACGATGGATTGGAAAATTTTTAAATAATAATAATAAGAGAAAGAAAGAAAAAGAAGGGCACCTGAGTGGCTCAGTCAGCTAAGCGTTTGGCTTGGGGTCAGGTCCTGGGATTGAGTCCTGCATTGGGCTCCTGCTCAGTGGGGAGTCTGCTTCTCCTTCTCCCTCTGCCCCTCCCTCCCCGCTCATGCACACACATGCACACTCTCCCTCTCTCTTGCAAAAATAAATAAATAAAATCTAAAAAAAAAAGAAAGGAATGAAGGAAGAGAGAAGAACTGGTCCTTTACAACAGACAGTTTGAGAAGCACTGGCCTGCAAAACTATTGGTTACAGGTCTGTATTCTGATACACTTTGGAGCTTCCAGAATTTCAAATTACCTGAGTTAAACCTTCAGAGTGTTCAAGCCAAAAAAAAGAATTCAATGAAATATTTGTGTCCAGGGAAACTGAGAAGATAAAGTTTTTAAAACCAAAAGGGTGAAAAGAAATTCTGAGTTGCTCCAGTGGTTTATTTGTGGAAATTTTTAAGGAATATAGATAGTTTTGTATGACATTGTATGTAAAATAAGTTAAATGTAGGGCAAAACAATGTACTTCCAAAGGAACTCATGGAAGCCTGTTTATAATAGCACAAGACTAGAAATAACCTAAATGCCATCAATCAGAGGCTGGTTAATTCAAGTATGACACTATCGTGCAGCAAAATGTTTTGCAGTTATTAGAAAAACTGAGACATCTCTACATGTCCAGATATGGCAAGATTTCTAGGACATATTATTAAGTTAAAAAAAAAAGGAGGGTACAAAACAGCATAATATGGTATGATACTTTTTGCATAAAGGTGAGAACACACATACATTCACATGTTTCAATGCCCGGATTACACTGGGAAGGAAAGAATAGTTGCCTCCAGGGAGGTAAACTGGGCACCTGATGGATAAGGAGAAGGAAGTTGTCTTTCTTTTTACCAATATCCTTTTTGTTTCTTTCAAATTTTGTGCTATGTGCAACTAGTATCTATTGCCATCAACATATTAAAAATAATAATTTAAAATATCAAAAAACCAAAAATGAGAAATAAATTATTCATGTTCAACCATAGCCATAAACTGAAATGACATCTGCCCTTAAATCTTCCTGCAGGCTCTGGCAGAGTGCCCTCCACTCAATATTTTTTAAATTGTTGAACTAAAAGTAATAGCTCATACAGAATTTAACAACATAACAAAACAAAAAGAACATTCAATATTTATCATTCAAACTTGATATGTTTTCAAAGAACTAAATCATTTTAGCCAAAATTATGGCTACATTATGGAAACAGATTAAACCTCTAAAGTTGTTAAAAGATACTAGAATCAGCTTTAGAATCAAAATCTTCCTGAAATGGAATAATTTACCCTGATAAATTTAATCAGTAAATTCAGCAACTCATGCATTTATAATTACATTGTAGTTTTCCTAGAGAATATAGGAATTAGATGTCATCCATGGGCTACTCTTCAATCTTTCATTAATTTGACATAAATCTGCAGATTCAACAAACCTATGTCATGTTTGTTTAGATTGAATCTGAGAAAATAACATTGTTTTGGATGAAAATGAAGATAACAGTAAGAAATAAAGTAGCCTGGGTGGTTCAGTCAGTTAAGCAACTGACTCTTGATTTTGGCTCAGATCAGGATCTCAGGGTCGTGAAATCCAGCCCACTCCATGCTGGGTGTGGATCCTGCTTAAGATTCTCTCTCTCCTTCTCCCTCTGCCCATACCCCCACCCCTCGCACGCAATCTCTCTCTAAGAAAGAAAGAAGGAAAGAGAAGAGAGAGAGAGAGAAAGAAAGAAAGAGAGAAAGAAAAAAAGAAGAAAGAAGAAAGAAGAAAGAAAGAAAGAAAGAAGGAAAGAAAGAAAGAAAGA